AGAGCCACAGCTCAACTAGTCGATGTTCCTACTATGCTGTAGCAGTGCACTTGGTACGAGCACTTTATAGGGCTTAAGTAGGGAGAGTTCTGTTGCCACTTCTTCAATAAGATGAAGTCCACGATATTCTGTTGGCATTAATTTCTGGAGAGTCTGCGCGTCGCGCGTTGGCGCGCAATCTTTCTCTGATGTCTTCTGTTTTCTAATGAAGGTCCTTTTAGTTTGAAGCAACGCCCGAGAAGGAGTTCGAGCTAATTCTTACTATTCACTTTCATATCTTGAGCAGTAGAGGTCCGAGGCGTCTTTGAACCCTGATTCCTGCTCTTATGATGTCTACGAAAACCATTATTGGATGGCTGCTTGACTTCACTGGCATTCGTCCGGTCGTCATCTTATTCAAGATTGGCCCGACAGCAGAATATCGTCTCATCGGGGGAAACGGCCAATAAATGAAGCTCATCTCGGAATCGATACAATGACTTCAGCATGACTGCTTTGCTTTCTATTCTATTTGCTAGCATCGGGCAAGACATTTTCATGCTTGTATACCTATGTGTTTAGATGTGTGCAAGGCGATACTTTGCGAGGAAGTGCGCTGATAGCAAACTTAGCGACTATACGAAGGATTGAGAGAGCTGGCTTCCTGCATTTCTTTACGTGTAGCTTAAAATATTGTTCGTTGAGAAGAACAACCTTCTCGGGTCCAGACATATTGAGGCTGGTAAATAGCCTGTTACTTTTGTAATGATGGTGAAGGGAAATTCCATAGAACCTCTAAATCGTCTTGCAAAGTAACACAGTCAAAGAGCACTGCGGAGCAAAGTTGTGATTGTTACTCGAGGAGTTGAAGATTGTATGGATATACTTCATGAGACGAAATCAAAGATGGAACATTGAATGATCATTAGCAGCGGCAACTTCTTGTTCCCCGAGTTTTTGCCCACCCTGTAATTCATACCAGAGTGTCACGTGATTTCGGTCTTATCCCACTAGAGTCAACAGCCTGTTGGTATCCACCAATGACGGGATCGTGGAGCGAATCGATAATCTCATCGGTAGTTTGAAACTAGGCTATCTAGAGCAAGTTGGCCAGGAGTTGAGCAGTGCATGGAGTAAAGACATCAATTGAACTTCCATCGTAACACGACTGGGTTCAGACTAATAAGTACAGGTGGAACTGAAGTGCTCGCTTTTGTGTGCCAAATCCTGGTTCACACGCTAGTGGACCTTTTTTCCTCGCAATTGACATAACGGTACGGGGCCGTCTGGAGGGACAATAACGTTCTGAGCATCGACTTGAGGTTGTCTACACTGCTTTTGTGGAGATTTGAAAAACGCTACAGGTCTACTGCTGGGGCTCTGCAAGAGTCAACAGATAGATCGAAAGTACTGAAGGGCTGGGTTCACAATTCAAAGGCAGCCCGAGAAGAAACCTTAAGAAACAACCTAGAGCTCGATAAATGGGATCTCTTCTTCGCCCATTGATTTCCGCATTGATGCGCTCACCAGTGTTGCCCTCGTGCTAACGCTCTCTGTGCAACGCAAAGGATCTGCGGCGGATGGCTCTCTAGTCGGTGGGCGTGCTGCGTCGATAGCGGCGCGGGGACAGCGATACTAGATCGTCGGGGCATATCATTCGCTGCGGGATGCATGTCGGTGCGCACCCTTGAAGGTGCGCGTGTCTTCCCCCTTCAGCTTAGCACAGCCTTTGAGCGTTCATAGAGAGTACAGAATCTGCTGGAGACAGCCACTTCCCATAAGGCAGCGTCCAATCAAATGCGGACAGTACCATCAAATAGACACACAGCTACTCTGAACCGCGGATCCCTTCACTCCCCTGTGTCACCAAATTTGAACGCTGAAACGAGCAAGAAATAAAATGCTTCTCAGACCTATGTCGGCATCCTTTATAAGCATCCAGTCGGTGTCTTGCAAGTACTCTGCTGCGACACAATGTCTCTTGAACATGATCTGAACATCAGCTGCAACGTTCATAAATTCATTTGTTTTTTTTATTTATCCAATACAAGTGTAGAAGTAGAGGTGAATTATTGGAGTTCCATGACATTAAGTGACATTGGGTTACGTATTCGTGAAGTTTCTGCGGAGTTTTAGGAACTCTGTGAATTAGGTTGAACAATAAGCCGTTTTCATTTCACTCATAAGTTTATTAACAAAACCAAACAAAAACAACAATAAATGCGTAATCAACAAACGCTCTCGAACAGTCCTCTCTGCAACCGTGCCTTCATCCCAGGCTTCATTGATTCTACGAGCAGATGCAGAAGCATTCGGTTTCGAGCTCAACTTGCACTCATGTAGCAGGGGCAATCCTTTTTTGCTAGTGTGTAAGCTTCATAGTAAGGTGTACATAAAATAATACAACACATGATTTCGTGTTGTACATTAAAATGTATAAGCGATTGAGCGCTTTCAGACTACATAACAAATACGGCAAAAAATCAAAAAACGGCGGATAATTATTGCTCAACCTAATATTTTGCAGGATTCACAAACAGAGTAAAAATAAATTATAGTTATTCATCCGAGCTTCGAAGCTATAGCTGACTTCTTCTCGGACATTAGTGAACAAATGCTTAATGCGGAACGAGAGATTTCTGGAATCTTGGAATCCTTCCAAATTTTCAACGACTATAACTTACGTGTTTATACAATTGTGCTAATTTTTGTGTCCTATCTACTTGCACATGCCAAATAAATCCAGTTCAATCAGCTGGTCTCGCAAATCTGCGAAATCAACTAACGGTGTTACAGTACTTCACAAAGTGGGAGACGTGGCGCTTGAAAGGATCAATGAGC